GTTTTCGTCCGGGCTTGAGAAAAGGGCATAGTCTTCGCCCGGGCTCGAATAAAACGGGCATAGTCTTCGTCGGGGACCAATAGTTTTCGTCCGGACTATAAAAAAGGACATAGTCTTCGCCCGGGACGTCGAAAGGGCATAGTTTTTGTCCAGGGCCAATTAGGGCATAGTCTTCGCCTGGGGCGTCGAAATATACTAGCTTATTCAATGGCTAGTTGATGAGTTTTCAGGCCCACATACCCTAGTACTTATGAGAGTCAGGTAGCTCTTAACGGTCTGGACTATGCTGCGTTGCTACTAAACTACAACAACTTGACTTACAGTACAAGCTTGGTGACTGACTGAGTGGTGTGTTTTGTATGGTNTTCAGGCCCACATACCCTAGTACTTATGAGAGTCAGGTAGCTCTTAACGGTCTGGACTATGCTGCGTTGCTACTAAACTACAACAACTTGACTTATAGTACAAGCTTGGTCACTGACTGAGTGGTGTGTTTTGTATGGTCCACATGGATGTGCAAAAAGCACCTCTTAAGACACCCAGTTACATGTCAGTAGTTCTGTTTTTTTCCTTATTAAATATACAACCTTAGTCTAGCACCAGCTAGCTAATATGTTCTTAGGCCCATATACTATCACTCTTGAGAGCTGAGTAAAAGCTCTTAGTAGTTTGGCATGTACTTCCTGGCTATTAAACTTGTTATTACTGTCACCAAATTTATCAGCTCAGATATTAACTGAAAAGTAATAAGTTTTTAGTCCGTGTATCATGAAGAAAAAAACTAAACCAAGGAGCCAGTTAGCGCTCAGTGGTTTAGTTTAATCATCTTGGCCCTGAACTTGGCACTTCACGTTATTTGTGACAATGTGCATAGTGCCTGACAGTGCATGCATGCATATACCTTAGAATCACAAATTATCCACATGCATTTATATACATCATATTATGTATACATCAGCGATAGTTCACATCTTTGCCGGTGGTGGCGCTGAGTCAATAAAGTGCTCTGAAGGTTGCGGTTGGCAGCAAACTTTTGACCATCGCGGCCAACGCTGGCCATAAGAGACGGGTACCGTGTACTGTCCGTACACTGACCATAGGTGGTCCGTACAGTATACATAGTAAACAAAATGTTAACTTTAATTCTTTTAATATAATTTTAAATTTTAATAATTTTTAAATTTTTCCTACCATATATATATGTATGTATAGAAAGTTCATTAAATATTGATTTAAGTAATGTTACCATGATTCGAGATTATTTGTTATTATAAGTTGTAAATTAGTCTAAATAGTGTATTAAATGGATAACCGAATAAATAAACGTATGAATATACATTTATTACATATGAGATACATTAGAAAAAGAAGTATAGAAACAGGTAATGAAAATAAAAACAGTGAAACCGTAGCAACTAATAAAATTCATGTGAAGGAGGATGTTGTTAAAAGTAATTTACAAGATAAACATATTATTGAAAATTAACATGGTGAACGCCTACAAGAAGCAGATGGTGGTGATGAAAGTGCTTGTGAAGAAGAAGATTATGATCATAAATATAGGTTTGAGACGTGTAGCCGTGAAAGTGAACCTGATGTTGAAAGTGACAATAAAATTAATTTGAAATGCAAGCAATCAATCGCAGAAATTTCAAAAGATTATGCGAAAGATTATAAGCCTCCAAACAGACATATTAATTATTTATTTCAAAAATTTGAATTAATTGAGAATACTTTACCATTATCATACAAAACATTACTTGAAGTCAATCTGACCAAAACATATATAAAGTTGAAAAATTTAACCCAAGTGATGTTAGTGATAATTCAAAGATAGCTCATTTGAAGATAAAAAAATAATGCATGCAATTTATTCTGCCTATTCTTAGCTACTAGCTATTCTCAGTATACAGCCCCACGGGCAGTACATGGGCAGTATACAGGCAGTACATGGAGACGTAACAAACGGTAACCGTGGACTTCCCGTACTCGTACCTGATCACACGCGGTATACAGGCCATGTATGGCCCGCTAGTTGGACCGTACACTGGGCCTACGGTAACGTGAGTGGGCCGTACATGCCGCGTGAACTTATTTCTGTTCCGGACTCTATATCCTCTATACATGCCTTTTTCTCAATATCCAATATACTTAAGACTCATAATACTAAACCACATAGTTTCTTTTTCAAGAAAATTTTCAGGATTCACATCACTGTTATGAAAAGAATACTTACCTTTCGTTTCTATTGAATTCTCACTCTTTTTGAAGTCATAACTATCAATACCTGATGTGTTGCTGTCCTCACAATTAATGTCACCTAACTTATCGTAACCTGCAATAAATTTATAAGATTAAGATTCGTTGGTGAAACTTTCATGTGTGCACCAGCACGCAAGTGAAAGCACTAAAAAAACCAAAATAATAATGTGACAGTCCTTAAATCAGTCCATTACCAAATAATTTAAGCTTCTTATAACATACAGACTGTCACCAAGTGAGCAAGTTGACAACGAAAAGATAATTTATTCATTTATTCTAATAGAGAAACTGTTTTAGCAGGATCATGCAGTGAGAATCCACTAACAAAAAGTGTAACGCGACAACTAGTTGTAAGACTGTTACATTTTCACAAGGGATCGCGATTGTACCTAAATACCATAGACAATTTTACGATTTTGTACCACTCTCCCCCGTCCCATTTCGTCAACTGCCTTTATTCGAAATTTAACCCCTCCCTTCAGATAAGCTACAGTGAGATCCTTTTTTTCCTCATTGTTAAATTATATTTTAGAATTATAATAAATGCTATTTTGTCATTAGTATACCGAATTTTTTGCCTCCCTGCGTATACAACCCTTACCCCCTGAATATGTCCAAAACATTGAGATAATATCGCTGAAACGCAAGGCAAAAACATTGCTTATACAAACACAAAGCTTATGACTTTTAACATATCTACTTGTAGATACATACTACAGATATATCGTGGATCTGATATGTGTACTACACAGAGAGCGAGAGAGAGAGAGAGCGAAAAAAAATAAATATGAAAACGACAATTTCTTTACATAATTTTTTTTCTTTATATCTAAGAAAAAGTATAAAAAAATAAATTTTTTTGAGCTGTNAAATATTTATTTTATAAAACTTAGTTTCATGTATGTCATTAACTATAAAAAAATAAAATACATTTTTTTTTTGTAAATTTAAATACAATCGTATAATGGTATTGGTCGTCACATGATGAAGATCCATGTCAGGTTGATTAAATAAAAAGGACTATTAATAAATAAGTCGATCTTCACTTTATTCGTTTATTAGAAACGTTACGGCCGTTTCGATATCACAGTACCTTCTTCAGACGTGTGAAAAAAAAAATTAGATTTATTAGCTGCATTAGAGATTAATCAATCAAAAAATTCAGACATTTTATTGAATAACGTGTTAAATCTCAATAGTTCACCATTACTAAATATGTATTGTATATAATTGCACTTATGTTGACTATGTACTTATTTGTATGTAATTTTGCGTTGTTATGGAACTTTGACGATAAGTGTATATGTTTTGAATATAAGTGTAGTACATCGTTTAGTCCTATTGTACACACGTCTGAAAAAGGTACTGTGATACCGAAACGGCCGAAACGTTTCTAATAAACGAGTAAAGTGAAGATCGACTTGTTTATTAATAGTCCTTTTTATTTAATCAACCTTAAATACAATTATTCATATAAACTATCAATTACAAATCTTCCTTTATTATTTTATGATTCATACAAAAATTATTCACACAACCTCATAGTTTTATCTACTAAGAGCACAAGATTATAGGGAAAGGCTGGTGCCACAAATCACTTTAACACTGTATGTTGTGGGGGTCGACAGCCCCTTGAACTCCTTTTCTTCCACAAGATTTAACTTTGCTTTGGGGGTAAAATAACGGCAGTACGGCACCAGTCATGCAGCTGGCTTATAACCTACTAGCAGCCCCCGTCTCGGCTTCGCCCGAGACTTACTAAATAAAACACCGTAGTGTGTTGACATGTAATGTGAAACGTTTTCAGTTTTACACAAATTCCTGACACATCTTAGAACAAAAATCTTCTTATTAAAAATATATTTTTTCAGAATCCATATAGTTTATTTGGTCAAATAATAAGGTGTAAGAATTCAAAAAAACAATTATGCTGATAAGTACCGTGCGTTCTTTATGCCATAAAATAATCGGTCGCCATAAGGAGCCGTTGATTTACAGTTTCTCCCGTGCAATTCACGAAAATGGCGATTTTTTGAAGCTGTTAAGATTTTAAACTCCCAAAAAACTTTTATTAAAAAAATTTTTATTTCTCTTATCTCACAACTTTATTACGAGAGCAACAAAGTCCTGGACCTTAAACGCTTCATTTTTTATTGCCACAAAAACACAAATACATTTTCTATTTATTTAAAAATCTCAAGTAGGATCTTCAAAGATTTCAGAGATTGCTGTGAGGGTACAATGAGCAGCCGATCTCTCACGTAATGGATTCTTTATTTGTCTATTTTAACACTGCTGTTTCAATCTCGATAAATGTCAGAGTAGTGGGCTCGGAGATGACGGTAGGCACTCGCGAAGGAAAAGGCACAAAAGATTTAATCTCACAATGTATTTTAAACACGTAATACAGCAAGGTCAGCTTTAGGCTGATACAGTAAAATTAATATAACAGCTGTAATGTGGCGATCAAGAAGAGAGACAGTGTATCGGTCGGCTGCCGAAGAAGCAGTGGGGCTAGTGAGCGTCGCCAGACGACCACGAAGAGCTCAAGTGACTGTAGTGCCCGATGTCTCCATAAGGCGGCGCATGTGTGAGCAAGCCGGGAATTTTGATTGCTCAAAGCTCACTTTCTTGACACTCCCTCCCTTTGAGTCAATCTAGAATTTCGTCTGAGATCCAATCAACTCTGAAAGTTACATCTGAAGATTGATTTTACTCTGAAGTTATGATTCGGTGGTCTCAATGGAATCATTGTCTTCCTGGTTTGACATATCTGAAATAAATATAAGTAGTTACAATGAGCGATTCGTGTAATTGTAAGTCGATCATTGAATACTTAGTATTTTATCTCTGAGGTAATTGTGGCTTTCTGTGGGCAACGGTTTTGTCATTATATCGGCTTCATTCTCTGAAGACGAGATCCACTGAACTTTAACTTTGTCTTGTTGCACACAGAATTTAATAAAATCTCCATGAGTATTTGCCATGTGGCTCTTTGAACCCGTGGTTTCTCTCTCTTTTAATTGACTCTGAATTGTCTTTATGTCATCGTCGAAATTTTTCAATCTATGACAACCATCCATTTGGGTGCATTTTATTGCTGATTGATTGTCACACCAAATTGTGACTGGGTATAAAGTTTTTCCTATCATGTTTCTGATCGCCTTGTCCAGAGAAATCAATTCTTGACAAGCATCGCTCATAGCTAAATATTCAGCTTGACAAGTAGAGAGAGTTACATACGATTGTTTGTGGCTTCTCCAGTTTATAGTGTCTCCAAAAAGCTTTATAATAAAACCTCCTGTTGTTGAAGAATCCTCCAAGTCTCTGAAGCTGGTATCAGTCATGGCATATAGGTTATCTTCTTTTCCTCTGAATATCAAACTCATATCTAAAGTACCTCTGATGTATCTGAACACTCTTTTGACATCTTTCCAATCATTTTCAGTGGGTTCCAATTGTCTTCTAGATAGGTAATTAACTGCAAATGAAATGTCTGGTCTGGTAGCTCCTGCCAGATAGAGAAGACTTCCAATTGCCTCTCGATATGGAGCTTTTGTCCGCTGCGCTACTCCTGCAGTAGTAAGCTCTGAATTTTTAAGTTCTCTATTCTTTACTTGTCTAGTTACCATTGGAGTTCTCTGAGGTTTGCTATCAAGCATGTTGAATCTTTCCAAAATTTTCTTCGTGTATTCTGATTGGGAAAGTGTTAAAATTCTTTGACTTCGGTCTCTGGAAATTTTTATACCTAGAAACTGTTTTGGTTCTCCCAAATCTTTCATCTGAAATGTTGTACAGAGTTTAGATTTGATTGCCATTAATCTACTTGCGTCATTTCCAGCTAACAGGATATCATCTACATACAGTACTAGAATAATCATCTGATTATTTTTACGCCAAGTAAAAAGACAAGGTTCGTTTATGTCTTTTTCTAAGCCTAGTTTTAATGCTTCTTCGGTGAAACGTTTATTCCATCTCTTTGGGCTGATTCGAAGACCGTAAATCGATCTTTTAAGCCGACAGACCTTTTTGCTCTTGAATTCTCCTTCGCACTCTATTCCGTCTGGGATTTCCATAAATATGTCTTCTTCTAGTGTCCCATTTAGGAAAGCGGACTTCACATCCATCTGACAGACGTCTAGGTCGTATTTGTTGACTATAGCTAGTGCTGCTCTGATAACTGCCAGTCTAGATACTGGGGCATAAGTTTCTCTGAGTTCGTACTCCCTCCTGTCTTTAAAACCTCTGATTACTAATCTTGCCTTGTAAGTTATTTTACCTTCTGAGTCCAGTTTCCTTTTGAATACCCATTTCGAATCTATCGTGTGTACTTTAATACCATTTTTGTCCAGGGAGGGTCGATCTATTATTTCCCACACGTTGTTAGATTCCATGGATTTGAGTTCATCAGTGATTGCTTCCAACCACTTTTCTTTATCAACTGAATTAACCGCTTCTCTGAAGTTGATAGGATCTTGATTTGTTCTGGCTATAAAAGCATAAGTCAGTTCATCCTCTGAATTTATGTTTTCTAAGTCGGTAATTCCTTTTAGTGTGAAATTGATGTCAGGAGACGTATCTTTTTGCGCCAACCTCAAGTGGGACCATGTTGGTCTGTTAATTCTAGCTGTTCTGTCTGGCAGCTTTCTTGTCTTTGGCACGATCTCTGCTGTCGTCTGATCAGCTTCTCTTTTCTTTGGTCGGCCTCTCCTAGCCTTGCTAGACTCGTGTGCATGATTAGGTTCTAGTATGTCTTCAGAATGTAGAGTTTTGTCATTTTCTGTCTCTGATTGGAAATTCCAGTTTTCCAAGATCTCGGTTTCATTGAGTTTTGTATTTCTTCTGATGTCTTTATATACTATTTTTTCATTAAACTTGACATTTCGAGAAATGAAGAATTTCTTGGTCTCTGGATGCCATAACAGGTACCCTGTTAGGGTAAAACCTACTACTATGGCTTTGAGTGCTCTCTCTGAGAATTTTGTTTTGATTATTGGGATTTTAGCGTATGCTAAACACCCAAAGCGTCTGATTTTGTCTAAATGGGACTTCTGATTCTGATTCATTTTACTTATTGGTGTTTCGGAATTAATACTTGAATGAGGAGTTCTGTTGTATATATGAGTGGCCACTTCAGTAGCCAATGACCACATACTAGCGGGTAGTCCTGAATCGAGCATGAGTGCTCTAATTTTCCATTGAATAGATTTATTGAATCGCTCTGAAGTGCCATTTAGTTCAGGAGTGTGTGGTGGAGAGAATTCCCCCACTATCTTTTCTTTTTCCATAACCTCTGAGAACTTTCCTCCAGTAAATTCTGTTCCATTGTCTGTTCTAATATAACAAACCTTGGCATCTGTACCTAATAAACTTCTGACATGTTTGAGGTACTCTTCCAAACAGTCACCTGCCTGGTTTTTGTTTCTGACGGAGTATGCTTTGGCATATCTAGAATAATCGTCTATAAGGACTATGATAAAACGGTTATCTCCTGGGTACGAGTCTGGTTTTATAGGACCCATTGTATCTACATGTATTCTTTCTAATGGTCTGTTGGCTTTGACTCTAACCTCTGTGAAAGGTAATTTTTCCATTTTGGCTAATTTACATGTTTCACAGTCCATTATTGAATCTGTGAATTTTACTTTAGATAAAATGTCCTCAGATTTTTGTAATTGTTTTAAATATTTTAAAGATGCGTGTCCCAATTTAATGTGCCACATCAGGCCTTCGTCTAACTTCTTCTGAATGTTAATAATGTTGTTGGAACTTACATCTGATATAATTTTGTCGATTTCATCTGAATTGCTGTTGTCTAAATCAATGTAGATTTTTTTCAGTAACAGATTGTTTGGCTTTAGTGAAGTATGATCTTCTGATTGCTCTTCTGAAGTATTGAGTTCATCTTTCTTCTCCCTCCCAATCTCAGACTGGGTATTCTCTGGACTGATAGACTCATCCATAGACTCTGAATTTTGACTGTTGAGAATATCTACAATATCAGTCTGAGATTGTGTCATGAACTCATCCAGTGAGACTATCTGTGCCGAGAACTGATATTTATTCCAATTTCTAGTTTTTGCAGTGGTTTGATTTTCAACTTCTAACTCTATTATCCAGTTCGGTTTCTCATATACGCCTGAGATATATATTTTTCCCGTTTCCTTGTCAAAGATTTCTAGATATTTGTCATCTAAATAGATGCCTAAACCGGCATCGGCAAATTGTCTTAAGGAGATCAAGTTGTTGGAGATGTCCTTCGCAGCTATCACGTTTGTTAATTTAAACTGTTCATTTAAATTTAGTTTAAAAATTAAGTCGCCTTTCCCATCAATAATGATGTTGGCTGAGTCGTTTTTATTTGCACTTCTGATGAATTCATTGTTGCATTTCTTAAAATTTGTTAGAATAATTCCTTTGTTAACAACGTGATGAGTTGCTCCGGAATCAGCAATAAAAGATATTTTAGTTTTACCTCTGTAGTTATCTATATGATTACCTGTTAACATAGCCTTAAATTTGGTTGCCTGTTGTTGTTTGGCTTGTGTACTCATGTTACCTTGCTTTTTATTTACACGGCCATTACCTCTGAATTTAAAATTACCGTTGCCTTTGCCTCTACCATTACCTCTGAGCTTGCTATTGTTTTTACCTCTATTATTATTATTGTCATTAGAATTATTTTTAACATACCCATCTTTAGGATGATTCCTGTTTGGGCATGCATCTCCCTTGTGGTACTCGAAATCCTGGCAGTAAAAGCAGTACCAGAGTCCATACTGGCTTAGAGGACAGTTAATGAGTCTGTGACCGAGTTTGTTGCATCGGAAACACTTAGTGTCCTTATTCGCCTGATCGTTGACTCTCTGACTGCCTGTAGCCATGTTGGCCCTGGCCTGCTCTGAATTCGACTCTGATTGATTTCTTTCTGCCTGCAATTGTATTAGACTTGTCTTCATTTCTTCAAGACTCATCTCAGTACTTGTGGTCTGTCGCCTAACCATGTTAGCTGTACGTAGCTCTGAGAATTTGTCTGCCACGGCTTGGTAAAAGGCTGACCTCTTTTCCTCCTCAGTCAGAGGTACCATACCGTCTGAGTTTTCATACTCTCTTACTATATGATCAAACCTGTCAATGAAGTCATTGACTTTCTCTTTCGTTGTAATTTTAAGACGATATAGTTTGGCTCTGACTGACGAGGCTGTTATATTGGCTTCAGCCATTCTAAAGGATTTTAATTTATTTATAATTTCTCTAGGGTCTACAATGTTTAGTACCTTCTTGTGATAATATTCATCTAAGTGATTAATTAGCAATTCTCTAACTAGACTCTTCTTAAATTCGATTTCATCTGGAGTGTATTTATCAATTAAGTTACTATTTTCTATGAAATCTGAAAGATCATTAGTTTTTAATTCTGAAGTTAAGTGATCAAACCAAACATTGAAAGACCCTTTTTGAGTCAGAATGTAGTTTTTCTTAAAGAAAGGTTTAGAAGTATTCTTATTTGAATCAATTGATTTTCTGAGATTGTCTAGTGAATTATTTAGATTATCCAGTCTATCAGTGTCATCTAAGCTATCTCGATTATATGGTCTCTGATTAATGTTACCAAAGGGAGTTGGGAGAGGATTATTATGGAGAGTAAAGTCACTCATATTCGTGTTTCTTTGAAACCTCTGATCGTTAATGGTAGAGTTAAATAAAGGTGGTACCTCTGAGTTTCTATGGGCTCTCTGAGAGTCCTGGATGGACTCTGTGGCACGTGTCAAGCTGTCAATCTTAGTGGATACTAGATTGAGAGCTTTGGTCATGAGGTTGGCAGCCTAAACAAACTCCGGAATCTTTTCTGTTACACTGGACATGGCGTCTGCCGCCCTTTCCATCTTTGTTGACAGTATTAGAAGTTTGTAAACTGCCGTATCCCAAGATTGGATTACTTCTGCTTGTTCAGCTCCAACGTTCCTGATTTCAACAATCTCTGGTTGCTGAATGGTGTTGTCAGTGTCCTCTGGTCTTAGTTAAGGGGTAGTCGTCTTCTCCGACAACTCTAAAATTGTGAATCATGTCTCTAGATTGTTTGGATTTTGCAGAAGTTGAAGCTGCTGGTTTTATATTGCCAGCACCTCGATAGGCCTCTCTGATATAAATGATTCACAACTCTGATACTCTGGAAAGAACAAGTAGGAGAAAAAAATATTCTCACCTTCCTCTGAGTTGTCAACTGGTAAATCTTGAGGACTGTCCCTTGGAGGTGTTTCGGTAAAGTTAGACTCTACATTTATTTGGGACTCTTGGTCTTGTTCATTCAGCTAAGAAACAGCCCTCGTTGTTATTGTTGACACACATCTGAATAAACCAAACAAGAAATTAATATGCATGCATGCATTTATTATGTGGGCGTGTTCTCGTACACGGACGGCACTGCCTGTCCGGTTGGAATCAACACCTGGCTTGTTAGCACCGCTAACCTCAAATCTCACACACGCGCTCCCTCCCAACTCGTGTCACCGCACGGCGTATAACTCGAAAAAAACGTGGGAAAGAGGTGCACTCGCGCATGTAAAACCGAAGCTTCGCGGGAAAAACTAACAGCCCCTCTCCGCAATAGTTAAGAAGGTCAACTGCTGCGGGAGTTTATTAACTTGCAGCACCGCTTGCAAGTTACGTACCTATAGGTACATACACCTATTCGAAGGATGTAACTTTTAACAAACTGACAGCACCAAATTAATAGGAAAAGAAACGTACTCTGAGTAGAGAAAAAATTTATTCTCTTCAAGCAAGAATTCGCGTATGTTGTCCACGTGCATGTAGCTCTCGAGGCCCGTGCGCGCCAAAAAATGGCGGCCTCGCTCAGGTCTGCGTGATCGTGGTGTTCGCGCGGGCTTTTATTATGTCGACCACCAACACGCACTTCTACATTGAACTACGCTGGCCGCACGAGGACAATAAAAAATTTAATAGCACTGTGCCCTGCACCATTCGCTCACGCACATTATCACCCTGACACAGGAAACACGACTTGGAACCTCTGAAGCAAGAAACTCTGAAAAAGAAAAAAAAACTCACTGCTTTCCTCCTCTGAAGCCCTTCATGGCAAGGCCGGCTCGTCCTCTCGAGAGAAAAAAGGTGGGGACCATAACCTGTCAGAGTAGTGGGCTCTGAGATGACGGTAGGCACTCGCGAAGGAAAAGGCACAAAAGATTTAATCTCACAATGTATTTTAAACACGTAATACAGCAAGGTCTGCTTTAGGCTGATACAGTAAAATTAATATAACAGCTGTAATGTGGCGATCAAGAAGAGAGACAGTGTATCGGTCGGCTGCCGAAGAAGCAGTGGGGCTAGTGAGCGTCGCCAGACGACCACGAAGAGCTCAAGTGACTGTAGTGCCCGATGTCTCCATAAGGCGGCGCATGTGTGAGCAAGCCGGGAATTTTGATTGCTCAAAGCTCACTTTCTTGACAATAAATTTTCTACGTCAGTTTATTGACGCCTAAGTAAAATTGTATTTTATAGATACATTTGAAGTTTTTCTTCCAATTCACCCTCTTGCGACTTTTGGCATGCTTACAATTTTTGTGACCCCTAAAGGCTATTTTCTGTCAACTTTGTTAAGTTCATATATATTTGTTGGCAAGGTAGTTCGACGTCCGATGGCCCTAAAAAAGACCGGTGAGCTTCTTAAGTTCACTCTTTCTTGACTGCAGTTAACAGCAATTGTAACTGCCTGGATACCTCAGGGTGATCTTCTCTGGCCTGCTGTTGAAGACCCAGACTGATCGGGAGAAAAATTACAAAGTCCGAAGCTTTAGGGCTAGTTGTAGTGCTCCTTCCCAATATTTCCCGGTATAACGTCGAAGACATTGGTGTCTAAAGTACCTTTTTTATTTGCAGATTTAGTTGTTTTGGTGATCTTAGATGGTGATATTGGTTAGTGATACTTGTCCAGTGAAGGCTGTCCCGTTGGCTTAAGTTTTTTTTCTTTCATAGCTGTTATAGGTTTGCCCAGCGCAAACCTTGGAGAGGATCAGTGATTCCTGGTTAAATGCTTAGAGTCGAGAGGGTAATATAGGGTCGTCGGTCATCGGGTTTTCCAGCCTTGCGGAGAACAACTCCGCAGGTGACGTCTGCTAGTGAATGGCTGACTTGGTTTATTAGTGCCCGTCTTTAGTTAATATAGTCTCTTAGTCGACGAATCGCTTTCGGAAATGGTAGTAAAAATGCATTTGTTGGCAAGGTAGTTTACACTTAGGTGGGTCCTAAAAAGAACCGATGAAATTGATGGTTAAGTAGGGAACGTGAATACTTATAATGGCCCTAAAAAGCACCAGTGGTGAAGCTTCCAGGCTATTCTTTATTATTATTCCTGATGATGAAGAGCTGGCTACGGGTAGCTTGCTTCTTACCCTGGGAGTCTCTATGTACGGAGACTGTGATGGAGGGAGGTACGCTGCTGTTCAAGGATATTTCGTCTTCGGGTCGTTCCCCGGATAACCAACCGCTCATCGTTAGACAGGAACGTGTGGGTAAGCGCGTTGGGGACGCGACGACTAAGAAGGTAGCCTGTGGCTGCCCGTGCCCCTCAGAGCTGTTTTCCCTGGCTGGCATTTGTAGCCAAAAATTCTCTAACCGCACCAGGCGGGATGGTGGGACTGCCAAACAACTATGAAGAGTGGGTGCAGACTGTGCTCTGGCTAGATATGTCTCCTGGTATTATGCTAGATACGTCATTGATTAGAATGAATATTATGTAATAGAATGTTGAGTTTATTCTTTACAGGTAAATTCTTACTGTCCTTGTTTTAACAAAAGAAAAAAAGTCTTCTTAACGTACTTGTTCCATTCTGCAGGACTACTTAATTGATTTTTTTTCCTTTCCCAAGTGTTTACATTAGTTCACAAAAATTAAGTATTATGTTCGATACACTAATACTACAATGTCATCATCTATGTGCTTTTACAATGAGCTTACTTCGTTTTTACAGCGACCACAAAAAACAATATAATAACGAATGTATTACTTTTCTTTTATATTTGTTCTACAAGTACCTAAAACGCCATTTATTTTTACCTATTAGAAGAATCTTAAACATCGATCACACGAACGGTTTTTTTCTCTCTGGTCAGTAGATCTGGTGGCTTGACGAGCGACTACTAGAGGCCACACCCACTTCCTGCATGCATGCTTCGACGATTTTAAGCGAGCACATTCAAAATAAAACAGTGCTTTTTTCAGTTGATTTTTAAGATACTTCTAACGAAATAAAGAAAAAACAAATGTAATGACAGTCAAGAATAAAAGTCGTAAGAAATTTGTATTGCAAACTTACAACTTTTTCATAAGTTCTAAAGTTTTAAAGGCTTGAGCTTAATATAGAGACTGTACTTTGGACATCAGAATTAAATGAAAGAGAACGTTTGGACGTGATAGCAAGATCAGTTATGCTGGTCACACATTCGAATTGATAGTCATTGGCGTAGCTAGGTGGGGGCGAGGGAGGGAGTGGCACCACCCTCCTAGAAAACTTGTCACTTCCCTATAAAATTCATTACTCAAGAAAAAAAGTACATGATAACGTTTCAGTCCCTAATTGTTAATTTACTTTAACACGTAAAATGAACTCAAGTAAATTTTCTTTACATGAATTTAAATTTAAGCGGGCTCTGCTGCGGCAGCATACATACAAATATAGCGCGATGGCGGTGACACTAGTGTTGCTTGATGTGCGAAGTGCATTAAAATAAGTACTATTACTATTTACCATATGGAAGTATGAATCATGCACAACAAGAGAAACAGCTGGAAGAGAGTGTTCGAATGATTTCGAGTCAAGTGTAGCCACAGCTGGGTCAGGCGTTTGAGGGGTATATACACAAACGCAAACACGTTATATATATATGTATAAATTTTTTATATTATAGTGTACTGACCTACGATGGGTATGTACACTGTCTTTATTCATTCAACATTTACATTGTCCTTTAACAAGTCGTTTTTTCATCGTATCTTTATACAACATTTCTCTCATTTTCGCTTGTCATTACATTTTTCGTTCTTTATTATTCGCATATCATATCTTTTTTTATCTCCCCGGTCACGCAGGACCGGTTATCGAGAGCTCGTCACAATTCGTTATTTTTCAATCGCTTTATTATTTTTCTTTTCATCTTAAAAACTAAATCTTAATCCTAAGTCGGTTTCATGAATTCGATACCCGCTAAGAACCATCAGAAAAAAATCTGAGTACCCCGACCGGGAATCGAACCCACGACCCCATGAGCTGTGTTGTTTCGGAGGCTAGCATGCTAACCACTGAGCCAACGACGAGCTCAAATATATATATATTGTAACGGTGCCCCACCGTTAGGCCAAGTTAGTAGGCTAGGGCGGGTAGAGAAAGGGGGAAAAAGAGTTCAAGGGACCTAAGTGGGAAAGTAGGGGTAAGGGAAAAGAGAGGAAAACCAGGAAAGGAAACGAGGAGAGATAGATTAGCTTGGGCCAGCGAACGCGCGCGAAGCGAGTTTTTCCGTGTTGCCGTCTCCTGTTGCTTTTTTCGTTTTTTTTTGGTTCCTGTGAGAAGTGGTGGTGTGAAGTCAACGCCACGAAAAGTGTTGGTGTCGTGATCAGGCTCTGGAACCCGACGACAAGGGCAGACCAAGTCCCGGTCTGACGACCTTGATCTCCACACACAGCCAGTAGGGGCGCCTACTGGCCTCTGCGAGATCACACCAACCACATCTAGTTCGGTCTATCCAAGGCAGCTGCGAGAAGCGACCTTCCCGCCCCGCGTAAGTACCTGCCGACAGGCAGTCTGTTGTAAAGGGCAGCGGCCCTAAATTAGCCCGCGTAGGTCTGCTCGGTCTGCGTTTTCGCGCCGCGAGCTCGTCGAGCAATCGCGCTCGACGTGCGAAGAAATACATACACACACACACACACATTCGCGAATATTTTCTTGTAGTTATATCATATTCCTTAAATATACATTTTAATTTAAAAGAAAATAACCGCGAGTGCTACTTCCTTTCTGTGTGTGCCCGATCCCCGTTGTGCCGTGTTAAAGTCGTCGCGAGAGGCGACGACGTTCAAGGCAGCCACGATATCTGATCCCACAGCGGTGTCTCGGCGAACGAGACCCGCAAAATATTTTACAGGGAGTGTCACCGTTGGGTATCCGGGCAACACAGGCCCGGTCGAAGTAAAGAGACTCCGCCTCGTTAATACGCATCGTGCACCCCGTAACAATGTATATAGTGATGTGTCGTGCCTTACTCACCTTGCACTCAGCAGCAAGACACGGCACATATAAAATTATTCTTTATTATGACTTACTATAGGGCTAAGCGGATAGGAGAGATAGCTGGCAATTAGTATACATACATGGGCTAGATTAACATTGAAGCATTTATTTGCATTAATTAATAACCTAAAACTTATTATTATTTCTATACAATGTTTTCTCTGCCCGACTTTCCGACTTGGCCTGACTCTATACAACCTTAGCCCTGCAGGTGCAGGTCCGGCAGTTGCTGCTCGGCACAATGCTTGTCTACGGTAGGAACGGGATAAATAGGAAATAGGCCTACTGTTCTTTTGCTACAGCAGGGGTCTCTCTGTAGCACTATCCTCGGGCACCGGGAGATCCGACGAGCAGGGGTTGGCACTCGAACCCAGTAGTCCTTGACAGCGTGTGTGTGAAGGTCGTTGTGGCAGTCCGGGTTGCCAACAGGTAGCCGTTGTTGTGCACCTCCGGTAACCGCTCGGTACAGCACACAGTCGTATCTAGCACACACACCTGTATAACTATGTAATGCTGCGAAGCCCTCGGATAATACGTCCCGGCGGAAAACAGACAAGACGGAGAGTGCCTTTCTTGTCGCCCCGCCGATTTGTGCTCCCTGATACTGTAGCTACCTGCCTGTGTATGCGTCGGTGCGCACACACACCCTCCGCTGCACACAGTCAAGGGCTGGCAGTGCTGCCTATAGTAGGGATAAGTGAAGGGATAGGTCGGTACAAGGGCCGTGGGTGGGGTAGTGTTGGTGTGCATAGTGCCGCCTCACCTCTTGTCTGTTACTATGACTTACCTTCCTACCGTGACGTCGGTTTCCCACGTCACAATATATATATATATATACATCATTTTGACAGATATATATTTGAATGCCGCCCCTCTAAGATAAATTCCTAGCTATGCCAATGTATGATAGAGAGATGACATAGTTGTAAAATTATTATTTCTGCAGTTTTTGTAACAGCGGATCTTGCATTTCTTGGCGCAGAACGATCACCTATTCTCAAATCATCAATAGTCTACAGCGTCGCGGTCTCACTAAAGTGCATTGCAATTGTAAGGAGAGTTAATAGGAGTGTAGATTTTAGCGTCATGAGCATAGAAAAGAGTATGGCAATTGGGTACAGCAGACATGTTATCAAACAAGATAAAGAGTTAAGGCCCTTAATGCAACCCTTGAGAGATATCTGACAGCATGAGAAAGGCATTGGAGATGATATCATCAGCTCTGACCATTTGTGCCCTGTTAGTGAGATAAGACTTAAGCCAGGATAACATATCACCACGAATCCCAAAATTATAGAGCTTACTGAGTAGACGATTGTGATTAACTAAATAGAATGCCTTAGAGTAGATATGAGGTCCCTACGATCAGCAAACGCAGTACAGATGGCGTACTGTAGCTAAGAGAAAAATGGCGTCACTGACACAATACTATTACTATAAGTGACGACAATATATGGTAATGTGGACTTATGTGACAACATATCCGTCACGCTGAAGTCAGAAGATTACGGATAGTACATTTTTGTCAATGTGACGCCATTTTTCTCTTACCTACAGTACGCCATCTATGCTGAGTTTATGGACCATAGGGACATCATATAAGCTACATCAACGTATAGAAGGAATTTAGTAATAGTAAATTTGTGAGACAAAGCCATACTGATTAGCGTTTATGTAAAGTAGCGAATCCCATAGCTTATGTGTGACAATAGCATCAGATAAATATTTTTAAGTGGGAAGTATGGTGATAAGTCTGTAGCTTAGTGTAGCCGTCCCCATTGCGTTAGAGCTAGTTAAGTCATGGAGACGTATATGTTTACAAACAATCCATAAGATTTACTAAGATTCTATGGACATGAAAATGTTTTGGGACTGGACAAAATACTATTTTCGACATTAGTTATACAGTCCTTATAACATTGCGTAGATGTACTAATACATAAAGATTTAATGCGCGTAAACTTTACAAAGTCAGATAGATGGCCAGTCATTTTTAGAACGCAGTGGTTTAGTAGACCAGGTCGTGGGTCGGCATGCGGGAGACCATGGTTCGATTCCCGGCCAGTGCGACTTTTTCGGGCAAGTACCTCTGTAAATTTCCACATGTGCATTTTCACCACGCAATTCTCCTCGAGGAGGGATATAGGTGACATCCTCGCAGCAAAATAGCCTAATTTTTCCCTACCCCCCTCCCAGTAATGGAAGACCTCCCATCCCTCTTCCCTTACTTCTCCCAAGTACTAAGTGCCCCAAGTAGTGCCCATTACAGGAGCCGGACATTAAACACTATAATATAAAAGAAGTTTATTTATAGCTATAAATTTTTGACTGAGTGAGCACGTTTCTTTTGTAAATACAAGGTCTTCAAGTTTTTGAGTAAACTTTCTAGGAAAGAATAAACTATTAGAACGATTAATCATGAGAACTGAGTTATTGATTGCACTGCATACTGTGGAATAAAAAACACTAACAATAGAATCGACACTAGAGTTACTTAAGACAGTAAACCAGTCCGTAGAGTTTTGGTCATCGTTTCATGGGTTGTAGTCAGCTTTTAAAAAGTTCCAATGAGCAGAGAAATTTTTTTTGACCAAACAGATTAACGTAAAAGGTTTCAAAAAAGCCTGGTGGATTATACTTGTCAGTGTTGACCAGGTAATCACTAGACTGCACTGGTAGAATATGAATGTTAGATAATAGGTCAAGAGTATAGCCTTTTTTACTGTTACCTGGATAATACTACTTGAGATCCTAGGTTGAACCACACTCAGTGATAATTTATGCAGCGTTCTCTATGTATTAAGTGATATAATCTACCTGACACTACCTGTTGAAGTTTCACACCTAGGGAGGCCACAATCGGTAGAGCTTACAAGAGATACAGTCCAGAAATACTCTGTAGCGCTAGTAGTGGAGGGCATCATTGATTGTTCAATGCATGGGTTAGGCATTACTAAAACGAGTGTGTGTAAGGTTAGGAACCAATTAACAGCGACTACTATATAACGAATAAACAGGCGTGCCAAACAATATAAAACCAGTTAATATGATGAAAAACTAAGTTATAAGAGTAAAAATTGGAGTAAAAATTACTTTTAATATATTTAATATAGAAGAGCGTTGTAAAGAGCGTGTGTGCACCAGCGCGCCTAACACTCAAAAATAAAAGTATGAACTATTTCCTGCATAGCAATGTAATCCTTGCCCAAAGACTTAAATAAAGTGTATATAATAATAAATTTTTCATTACAAATTAACCAAGCAGGAATTCATTTACCTTTAAACATATAATTTTAGCGAAAAATTTTGGAAACTTCATCATTTTAGCGCATCTTCGTGAATGAGCACACTGTCACTATCTGACAATACATAATTACCCTCATACGCGACGTTGGACGCTATGGCGAAAAAATTTATGCCTCTCGCAAACTTCAGTGCATACCTTGATGTATACGTATAGTGATATCTATATTGACGTCAGTTTACGCCTTGATAGTTTGTGGCGCTAAAATTAAAAGTTCCACCAAAATGCGCACTAAAGTTTACAACAGGCATCAAACTTTTCACCATCACGGCCAGCCCTACCCCACAGTCAACTCATGGGAATAAGAAAGAACACTTATGAATTATGTACATACATCTATAGAATTTGTGAAAATTTGAGTTTTCTTACTTTAGTGATTTCTATGAAAAAATCACGATTTTATTTAAGGTGAAATAATAAAAATTCTACTAAGTTTTCGAAATTTCGGATATAAGTTAAGCAACTTTTTTGTTTGACAAGGAAATTACTTCACTACAAATAAATATCTTAAAGCTCATATGATAAAAATATTCATGTTAAATAAGAGTCTTTAAGTAAATTTACTCTGTATTTGTATCCAATTTTTTTATCAAAAAAGTAACTTATTAAAAATAATTTGGCATGCTAACCGCAGGAGCTTCTTCAATGACTTTTTGATGTCTCCGCTGAATAGAACAGTCTCTTTCAAATAGGTGAACTACATTTCCATAGGTATCAGCAAATATTTGTACTTCAATGTGTCTTGGTCTAGTAATATACTGCTCTAGAAGAATGGACGAATCTCCAAATGCTTTTAAAGATTCAGTTCTGGCCGACTCCAAAGCTTGGAAAAATTCTTCCTCTCTCCAAGCAATTCTCATACCCTTACCTCCACCACCTCTAACAGCTTTGATCAACAGTGGGAAACCAAGATTTGTAGCTTCTTTTACTAATGTTGAATCAGATTGGTCATAGCCATGATATCCTATAGAAATAATTTGTGTTCATTAATAAACTTTATTATCAACAAATTTAAGGTAGTAGTTGACCTAAAGTCACGCATAAACAATAGACCTAACACGCAACAGTAGCACAGAAAATTTCAACATGGCAGAAAAGTAGGGCCCACCATTTGCATACAAGAATGAGAGAAGTGAGGGGGGCGTACTTTTTCCTGAAGCTAATTTCAGAGTCTGTATAAAGTAGTTGCTGCCAACAGTGTAGTAGCGTCTTCTGCTGTGACAGAGGTTCTCATGCAAGTTGCTCGTCCGTACGAAGGAAGCCAATAGTTAAGTTACGTGAACCACGGTAACGCTGGATGGTTGATGGTACCAGTGGCATTATTTAACTAACGCTGCTATGTTCCGTTAAGATTAACGAACAGTCAAAGTCAATCGGATTTTTGATGTAAAATTTGGAGGATTATTTTTTAATAATCCTAACCGAAAAATTAAAATTTTTACTTAATGCAAACAGCTGAGAAGAGCTGATATCGACGCTTCAGACGGAGACCATGCCCTAATTGGTCCTGGACGAAAACTATGCCCCGTTCCCTTTTGACGACCCGGACGAAGACTATGCCCTTTTTTTTTAGTCTGGACGAAAGCTGTGCCATTTTTTTTGAGTCCAGACTAAAACTATGCCCGCGTCCGGACGAAAAATAAGTTAAAAAACATCCAAACATTGTTTACTGACCCATCTTGTGTTCTATTTCCCATAAAAAAATCCCTCCAGGTTTGCTGCTTTATGCTTTTGGTGGCTAGCGGATACTATTACACTGGAAGAAGCTTACAAATACGAAGTTCCTGAAAACGATTCAACATTTCAAGGTTTCGCGATACTTCTGTCAAAGTATTTGTGTTATAAATTTTATCTTCACATTGATATTCACATGCATATGAATCTACGGACGCGTTCATAAAAAACAACACGTAATCGTTATTCTTAGCAGGTCTAGTGGCTTCACAATTTGGAGTTTTAGTAAGTGTTTGAAAAAAAAAAAAATGAACTTTTTAAGATTTCATAAAGCGTATATTACAACAACTGTAGACAACAATCACAACATAAATACATTTGACTATATATCTAATAACAAACACAAATTTAAGGTGAACTAAATGAATTTCACTTCATCCGGGCTCCAGAAATGGTCAACATCTTTATCAAGACTCGAAAAAAAATGGAATAGTCTTCACCCCGACTAGAAAAAAGGGTATAGTTTTTGTCTGGACTCCAGAAAAGGGCATAGTTTTCGTCCAATTTTCCAAAAGGGCATAGTTTTCGTCCAATTTCCCAAAAGGGCATAGTTTTCGTTCAGACTAGGGTAAAAAGCATAATTTTCGTCCGGACTGAGAGAAAGGGCATAGTCTTCGTCAGGTTTCGAAGCAGGGCATAGTCTTCGTCCAAGGCATCGATATATCTATGTAGAAGCAGAAAGAGACATAAAAATGTATACACGTATTAGATTTTTCCGTCCATATGAATCACAGAGTCTCTATACGGTAGTTGCTGCCGACAGTGTCGTAGCATCTTCTGCTACAACAGAGGTTCTCATGCAAATGAAGGCTCATTCATATATTGTTTCGTGTAGTCATAATTACTCGGCCCCTTAGCCGTTGGGTGCCCCGCCTAATAAACGTCCGCTAATATGTTATCTAAGAAACCATTTACCAAGTAAGCTAATATATGGTGTCAACATGTCATCTGTAACTCAACTTAAAAAACTAATAATCAAAAGAGTTGATTTTTACTATTTTCATTTTACATTTTGAAATAATTACGATATCACATCAGGTGGCATATGGCATCTGATATATCAGCTAATATATCACCTGACGTGTCACCTAGAATTTTTTTTTTAATGTTGAATAAAAAAATTCAACGCTTTCAAGCTTTACTAGGTATGATCTTCGATGCTTCAGGTGGATAATAACACCATTTTGGCACACAAGAGAGCCATATTATACATAATTTAATAGATTGTTATCAACTTTAATATTTTCAGTTAAGTTACAGATGACATATTGACACGACATATCAGATGACATGGCAGATGAGATCTCCGATGACATATCAACTGACATTTATGAGGAAGGGACACTTTTGAGATGAAGGGTTTTTTTTCTAGTGATCTTGTACTTTACATTTGTTAAGTCATACTACAATAGAACTGTGGTTGCATGATAACAAAGCTTGTGGACCAGCTTTCGCAATCGGATTACTGAGAAACGAGAATATCTCAGTGGTTAACGATCACAAGATCGTGATTACGTTTCCTGCGTAAACAAGGCAATTAAATCGACAAAAAGAACAAACAACCTGATCAAGAACCAAGAGGTTACAGTATACAGTATCAGTAGGATGCTAGTTTCAATACAAATGCCAGTTTGGATTTTTATTTTTTTAATCTAAATCATCTATTTTATGGTATGCATCTCAAGACTAGTATGCCGATGGATGAAAGGTATCGTACTTTTTTTTCACACACAGCTAAAATATTCGTAGAGTTGCAAAATTTGATTTAAACATAATTACTAAAGAGATTGCATAAAACAATTTGGAGAGCTTCCTGAACGAATGTAGATGTCATTACTGTGCGTGGCTGCCCCGGTTGCTAAACGTCAGATGATGATCAGCTGATAATAACCTAAAATTTTGGCATGATATTCACCTGATATTCACCAGATTTTTTCATTATTATCACCTTGTTTTTAGCTAATTTTCACCTGATTTTCAGCTTTGCTGGAAGCTTATTGAACAGAATTTACCCGATATTCACATAATATTCCCTTGGTATTCAGCTAAATTCTAACCGATAATCAGCTGATTATCATGAATTACAAATTAGGTGAAAATCAGGTTACGATCACGAGCAAATCGGATGAATACCAGGTGAATATGATACCAAAATTACATGTGATTATCAGCTGATTATCATCTGACGCTTGGTAGCAGGGGTGATTATGGGAAAAAAAATATTAACTGTGTTGACATTGGATATTGGAGACGCTAACAACGGTTCAATTAGCAGTCCTGACAAACACAAAGGCCCTGTAAGAGCGCTAGAGTTTAATCCATATCCGTCTCACTTGGGATAGTATTTGAATAAACAAGGTACGTTGCTTAGCAATATTTTAAAAGATTTGTTATTTATAGTAGAGCATTTTATTCTTTATATCACGACACATTCTTACTTTTACATTTTAACAGCGTTGTGTTACTTTTCCTCTTTACACACGTTACTATCAGGTATTCTAATGTATTAATTTTTTATCATTATTCAAACGTAAGTGAGACGGAAATCAGTACAACGGCATCCTGATACAGCCACACACCTATGCCTTGCTACAGAAGAAAAGTAAACTCCAATTATTGAAGTGTGGGATTAAAAATTTGTAACCTCACCATAAAAAACCATGAAAGGAGCGTACTATCCATTGTCTGGAATCCAATTGCTTTTTTCTTACAGCTCTATTTTTTAATTTTATGACGCTTTTTGTCTATCAAAAATCTTATCTTGAGGAGGCAACATGGTTTGCGAATTTGGCTCAAACAAATCAGTAAAACTTTTATGTGTCTTGGTGTCCAAGTTTTAGATAATGGTTTTGTTGGCCAGGCAGTAGTTACACTCTCTGGTAGGTATAGCTAACCACGGAAATGCTAAAACGTCAAACAAAACTGTAAATTCTTTTCCTGGGATAAAATCAGAGATGAAAACAAAAATAAATTAACCGAACCAAGTAATAAGCCAATTAGTTCAGACTGCAACGCTGAAATTGATAATCAAACTGCTCAATTCAAGCCACTCTAATAGATGTAATTAAAACGCTTTAAACTAGTGTTTTCGTACTTTATCTAGCTCCACAAGCTTCTAAAGTAATATTTATCAGCTAGCTATAGGCCAATGTATTTATTGTTTTTTAAAACAATTAACACAGCTATTGGACCAAAATTGTTATAGTTAAAAAAAGTAAAAAATTTCAATTGATGATATTTTTAAAAGACATGTTAATTAACATCTGAAAAACTATTGGTGAATTTTAATCCAAATAAGGAAATCGTTTTAACTTGTAACGCATCTCTATATGAAATTCCTGCTATATTATCCCATATACAATTGGTATGTTAGACCACCCTGTACGGAGCGCTAGTCGTATCTTACAGGTTAGTGAACGTAATTATTCTCAATTAGATCGAGAAGGGATATCAATTATAACTGGCATAAAAATGTTTCATGAATACTTATTTATTTACACAAATTTATTTAAAAAACTGATAATACGGCACTTAGTAAAATTTTCCATCTTTAAACATCGATTCCTGCTATAGTGGCCGCACTCTGTAAAGATGGGCTGCATTTTAGTCTGCCCTTTAATACGATACAAGACATATAAAATGTAGTAAAAATAATGCTGAATAGTTAAATAGATTACCAATAGAAACAACTGAAAACTGTGAGACAATAGAAATTTTTAATGATATTCCTGATATGTTTTGAAATAATATTAATAGCTATGATTTCGCTAGTCTTGACTGGAAACGAACTTAAAAGTATATACGAGACATAGTATTGTGTAAAGTTATTACTTTATATAAAGACGGCAAAACAACCCGATAATGACATGTTAAAAATCTTTTGGCATAAACAAAAAAACAATGTCGATAGAAAATAACTGCGTCTCATGGGACCACAGAGTGTGTGTGCAAGAAAAATTATAAAAACTAATTTTAAGAGAACTTTAGTCATTTTGGTATTAAAGAATAAAGTCTTCGGCTTGCGGGTTCGTTTTGCCAACCTTAGAGGATAATTTGGTATATACGATGAACACAAACACAAAAAAATCCTATTAAAATACCCTCAACTTTGTGGGCTTAGCCAACTACTCCATGGCACAGAATACGCGCAGATTTTCTAGGGCCACTAAATGACAAAATGGCATGAGACATAACACTTCCTCCTCTTATCCAGCCACTAATGGGGCAGCT